AGTTAGCTACTGATTGCAAAATATAAAAACAACATACGCAAGGTTATTGGGTCGACAATAATTTTTGTAATAAATATCTAAAACAGTTTTGGACAAAAACGGAACAATAAGGCCCAAACATAAACCAAGGTCCATACGCCACACGGTACAATGTTTCGGATTCGTAATCCGAGGACGTGGCGCTGAGTGTGACTGGGAGTGGCACGCTCATTGAACTTGGCAACAATGGGAGAACACGGATTGAGCTTGAGCTCGCTTGTTTTCACTGTTGCCATCATCATTGTCGTCTCTTACTCAGCTCAATCACTTGCGTTGAAGCATTCCCCACGATTCTTAGCAAAATTCGCTGCCAGACAAACCCAATCCGCGGAACCGCAATTTCAGTACGAAACCAGGTACTTCCAACAGCGCCTCGACCACTTCAGTTTCTCAGAGCTACCCACATTCCAGCAGCGGTACCTTATCAGCACCGAATATTGGGTGGGTCCCCAACGCTTGGGCCCGATTTTCCTGTACTGTGGCAACGAAGGAGATATCGAATGGTTCGCCCAGAACACTGGCTTCGTCTGGGAAATCGCCCCTCAATTCGGGGCCATGGTGGTTTTCCCTGAAGTAAGCCTTCCGCCTCCTTAAAGTAATATACTATCCACGTTCACTTTATTTATTGTTCTCTAACGAAATTTCTCGATTTCACAACTCGTTTCTACATGTGTGGATGTGGCAGCATCGATATTACGGCGAGTCTCTGCCTTACGGAAGTGCAAAGGAAGCGTATAAGAATGCCACTACCTTGTCGTATCTCACCGCTGAACAAGCGCTCGCGGATTTTTCCGTCCTCGTCACTGATCTGAAGCAAAATTTTTCCGCCAAGGATTGCCCCGTTGTGTTGTTTGGAGGATCATATGGTGGAAGTAAGTAACACTATTGCTGGAGATCTCAGGTTAACTGGTGATACGGGCCATTGGCCAAATAGTTGAACTGCAAATGAGTGGGGACAACCCTCTGTTATGGAGCTGACTTTTGAGTTTGAGTTATGTCTAAATACAAATTCTAATGTTATTGGAAGTACCTAATACTAAGTTTTGTTATTGAACTACTAACAAATGTTCGGTCGTGCAAATCTGACACTTGATGTGTTCAATCTTCTTAGAGATTTCACTTTAACTAGTAACAACGTGTAGTAAGGGGGATTCCCACCGAGTACATAAGTAAGGGGTACTCCTCATCCCTAATCCTCTATATAATCTACTGATAAACTTGCAAAACGAATTTGATTATCACAAAGGGATTTGTTATTCCGCTTTATTTAAATAAGTAAAGTTATGTCTTTGTCCAGGGAATAACTTTTCTCTTTGCATGTTCATCAGGTTTAACAAATTCGAACATCTCATTAATAGATAAAGAGATGACAATTTATCAAACAAACTGTGCGGCTAGCTTTTAGGATTAAGTTACAACCAAATACGAAATATATATATATAATTTGAGCAGTGAATTACGAATAGTTAGTTTTATAACCTTTTTGAACATTGTTTTACAGTGCTGGCTGCATGGATGAGGCTCAAGTATCCTCATATTGCTGTTGGAGCACTTGCTTCTTCAGCTCCGATTCTTCAATTTGAAGACATCGTGCCACCAGAAACTTTCTATGACATTGTTTCTAACAATTTTAAGGTAAGTCAGTGAGTTTTCGCCGTCGTTCAGGTATTTTTCATTGTTGTGATTTGTATATTATACTAACCGTTTTACTTTATTGTTTGTGTCCATAGCGTGAAAGTTTCTCTTGCTTTAACTATATTAAACAATCGTGGGATGAGATATCATCTACGGGGCAAACAAATAATGGCCTTGAGCGCCTGACCAAAACCTTCGGCTTATGTCAGTAAGGGCATTTAGAAATATGTCTTTTTCTGCTTCGAATGATTGTGAATGGTGATATCCATGTTTTGTTATTTCTCTTGTGCTGATTTAGTTAAACTAATTGAAGGAAATTGAAGAGTACTGTAGATCTGTATGACTGGTTGGAGTCTGCATATAGTTATTTGGCGATGGTGAACTACCCATATCCTTCTGAATTTTTGATGACTTTGCCTGGACACCCCATCAGGGAGGTTAGTTTGGTTTCAAATTCACAGTATATGATATAATTATACGGTTTAACTAGTGATAAATGAACAAGGATAAAGTAATTAGTTTGTTTCCTATTGCTGAGCCTGGTAAGGGTCCTGTTAGTCTTTACCAATCAATATGATTATATATATGGTCTTTTATAGGTTTGTAAGAGGATTGATGGGGGTCCTTCTGGGACTAGTATTCTGGAGCGCATATACCAAGGAGTGAATGTCTACTACAATTATACTGGAGAAGCTAAATGTTTTGAACTGGATGATGATCCTCATGGCATGAGCGGTTGGAACTGGCAGGTTTACAGCAGTTACCTGTTTTTTCTCCTTTTAATTTGCCAGACAAGTATTGAGGACCAGTAGTGCAAATGCCTTGACTAATGTGTTCTTCTTTAATCTTAGTTTGTTCCATTTTGTCTTATTCATGGTGTAGGCTTGCACTGAAATGGTTATGCCGATGTCTTGCAATCAGGAGTCCTGCATGTTTCCACCATATGAGTATAATTACACTTCTTTTCAAGAGGAATGCTTAAGTGATTATGGAGTGAAGCCAAGGCCAAAATGGATTACTACAGAATTTGGCGGGCATGTAAGGGAATTATTTCAATTAAATCTTAGTTACATTTGCATTATTTTCGAGACTAAAAGATGTCATCATAATTTGATATTCTGGTTTAGTTCAGAATGCCTCCCCCCAAGTGTGGTTATTAAAGTAAATATTACAAGTTTTAAGGCGTGGGGAAAGGCAAAGATAGTTATTTATTTTTCTAGTTGTGAAAGAGTTTGGTGATTTGATATTAAATATGACTTAAAGTAATATTTGTTTGAAGAAAAGAGGGAAAAATATAATGCTATGGAGGGAAATATCGACTGTGATTTTGGGGGACCTAGTAAATTATGTGCAAATATAAAAAAACTTGTCTGTACGCTATAACGCATTTCCTGTGGCATTCGTTAATAATGAGATTTCCTTATATAGAAATGTACGTGTATTATGGCACATGCTAATGTGTTAACATGTAATATGATTAATGAGGCGACTGTATGACACTTTTTTTATATTCTGGCTCGACAATGTTGCATTTGTCACTTTGGCAACATCAATTTTTTCAGAAGTTTCTTCCTACTTGCAACACGAATTCATTCTTCCTTAAAATAAATGAAACATAGCTGATACTTTGAAATAGATGGTCCTATCCCTTGGTGATGCCATTTGGATAGTTTGATTGTATGAAGCATGCTCAATTACAAACTTAAAAGCACTATTCGGACAGAATGCTGTTTTAACCTGAATCTGGGCATCTTCTTTGAAGGATATTCATGCCAACTTGAAGAAATTTGGAAGTAATATAATTTTCTCAAATGGTCTCTTGGATCCATGGAGTGGTGGCAGGTGATACATTAGTTATTCTGTAAATATCTTGGCTATTTTGTTTTGTATTTTTCCAACAAGTTATCTTTGAGAGTTATTGTCAAATTCCAACACACAAATTGTTTCCTGTTCAGCGTTTTGCAGAATATATCTGAAAGTGTTGTTTCACTTGTCACTAAAGAAGGTAAAGCATTGATTCTTTTGAATTTCTTAGTATCCTGCGGTATGCATCTGAGTCTATTCTCTTGTCTATTTTCCTATACGTGCCACTGTTATAAGTTATAACTACTGTAGTTTTGGTTTATTGAGTACACAATTCCATGCAACTTCGTCATGAAACTTTTACTACTATAGAATACTAGTGAGTTCCCAGGAATTCTCAAGCTTGTCGATAACATTAAAAAAAGTGTTTGTACTCCTAGTCAAATCTTATCAAGGTCCTTTTACTTTCATGTTTATAGATTTAGTTTCTTCTAATTTAAACAAAAGTAATGAATTCTTAGAGAATATGAACTAAAGCCGAATGAGTTTTAAGAGTGTGAGACTAAATTGATCGAAGTATAGGAACGATATTTATGTTTGACCAAAAGCATGAGAATTAAAAGCATATTGTTTTCCTCAAATAATTTATTGATATCAGAAGTTGCCTGATCTTTTCTTAAACTGTTCATCAGGTGCGCACCACATAGATTTACGTCCTTCAACTCAAAATGATCCTGATTGGTTGGAAGAGCAGAGGAAGACTGAGATAAAGCTAATTGAAGGGTGGATCAGTGACTACCACAAGAAAAATAAAGCTATTTTCGATATGTAACAGAATCCTTCAGGCTGGGATGATCTGCTGAAAAACGTCAGTTTTTAAATGGATTATCTTACAGATTTGAATTATTTCTTATTAAAGCAAAAAAAAAAGTTATGCGTATATTTCTTTCTAGTAGGTAACTCTGCTATTGATACAGATTATCTACTGTTGGAAGCAATGATACTATTTGGGAGTATTATATCGTGTGAGTATTTTCTTTTCAACAAGATTTATTCTTTAAGCAAACATACCAACGTTTGTGTTCATATGGATTCTATGCTTATGAGATAATAGTTGAAATTTATAAAAATATAAAAATTCTGAAAGGACATTAGTCCTAAATTATCTCTATATTTTGTAATTTTATATTATTTTAATGAGTGTACATATATTTTTTTATATTTTATTATGTAAAAGCTTATTCTTTGATTGCATCCAAACGAACTAATTATTTGAAAATATTATTTTTAAAAGATTATAATCAAATATAAAATAATCAATTACACATTGATTATTGAAAATTTAATACAGTAGTTGCCTTGAACATGTATTTAGTCGTTGGTTTTCCATCGGGAGACATTCTGATTCAACAAAATCGAAGGCTTAGGCCATGGGTTGGCGAGCTGAGACCCAACAAAACTTGTGTTGTTGGATTATAATAAAGATCATGGTATGGACACGTGTCTCATTAAAAAAATCTTCTTTAAATGTTATGTCTCTGTTTTTTTACATTTTTCTTGCAAACTCTTTCTCTGTGACAGTAACCATGGTTTACAGATGTTGTGAGTTTAGTTTCTTTTTCCTGCTCCCATAATGGACGCTTTAATGAGTTCGTCTCCAACCCTAGTTTAATAACTAACCTCTACAGGTAGTAGAAACAAATGCAAACAAAGGAAAGGGGCTTGCCACGTATAAGAAATTAGAGAACAATTAAACTCAAGCAATTAGACTATGTTTGTCATAAGGAAAATCTTCACTACGTTTTCACATGTTTTGATCCCACTAAAGCATTTGCGAGTGGAATCATTAAAATTATATGTATATATATATATATATATATATATATATATATATATATATATATATATATATATTTAAACATATAGAAATATATAAACCTGTAAAATACACAACAAAATATATTGATTTGTAATATATCGTATAACAATTTTTGAATAATTTAATTCATTTCATATGGCAAATGTATATTTTTTACTTATTATTTTCTATTCCATTGTTATTAAATAATGATAACAAGTGAGTTTTTTTAACCGTTTTGAAGTGAAAACATTAATATTTAAGATGTCCAATTCAAAATAACTAAAATTTAACTAAAAGTAATAAGATTATTGTTGATGTTACAATGAGTGTTACAGCGAGACGTAGAAAAATAAAACAATAAGAATAAAATTGTCATCAATATTTATTAATATATATATATATATATTAACCTCCTACTATGTTCATCTTATAACACTTATGATTAACTAAATATATTATTTATATTTTAAAAACATTTATCTCGATAATTCAATTTTTTTAGGACCGACAGAAATAATTCATATTCTTCCGCATCTCTAGATACAATGGAATATTAAAGTGATGTAATTATTTATAAAAAATATTTATAAGTTAATGATTTTTAATTTATCATAATTTATATGTCGTAAAAATATAAAATAAAATATATATACATCTAATTCAATTTTAAAAAAATTGTATTATTATTATTATAAAAATGAAATTGACAAATATGTATATCTAAATCAACTTATTAATTGTTATAATTGTAAAAATATATTTAAAAAAAATATTTTAAGGTGATAAATTTTTTTCAATAAACACCCTTAAATCACAATTATTAAAATGACGTCATATTTAACTATTCTAATACATCTTTTTTATTATTATAGTTTTTCTTAACTTGGTTTTAATATAAAATATTTTATTATCATTTTAAATTTTAATTTATTAAAAAAAGTTTAGATGATAAAGTATTATTTATACAATTTGTACGTTAAAATATAGTTATATAATAAAAAAATATTTAAACCATCAATTTTGTATAAAAAATCTATTTGGCTGATATCTATATGAAATTGAGTAAAATGTTGTTTCAATAGTTATAATAAGTTTTAGTTAAAGTATATATTATTATTAATAAATTTAAATTTTTGGTTTAAAGGAGGACTTTAAAATAACAAATTACTTGCATCAATGCTCCTTCTCAATCTTAAAATTCATTATAATTATTAAAAATATAATTATTAATATAATAATATAATTAAAGCTAACACATTATTATAGTTTATATTTTGTTTAAACATAGAATTAAATCAATTGTACTATAAAATTTTATTTTGCTAATATTTACACAAACATATATAGCCTACTTTAGTAGTTATAACATGTTTAATCAAAACTATGATATTTTTCATTATTATCCTTGAATAAATATATACAGGCATATAACATATTATATAAAAGTAAAAGGTGGGTTGCATTAAAACATTTTCAGAATGCAAAATAATACAATGGACCCGGGAAAGCTGGGGTTGCGAGGTTCATCTTCAACAACGTAAAATTTTAATATAAATTAATAATAATAAAAAAACCTATAAATTGTGGAAAGCAAGCACCTTTGCCACAAGTGGCAAGGAGAAAAAAAAATTTCCAGTCTTAACTCCAATGTCAGTTGCAGTAGAGATTCCAAATAATGAAGGAAAAGAAAAGTAACGTGAAAAAATAAAAAATCTGATTTGTACTGGTTATTATGTAAATGGGACACAATGTAACTACTACTAGTCATTTTTCATATTTAAATTTAAATAAAATCATAATTGAAATGGTAAGTAAATATTTCTCTCTCAAGATATAACATTTATTCATAAATAACAACCGTTTTAATCAAATTACTCATATTTATATTACTTATTCTTATTTGTTTTAAATATATTATATATTATTAAATTTATAAATATGCATATATGTATGTAACATTCCTTCCTACATATAACCGTTTTAGTCAAATTACTCAAATTTATATTTATTTAAAATATGTTATTAAAATTATAAATATATGTATGTGTATTTATTAACTAATTAAATCTATTCACAATAAATTTTCTTGATACAAAATTTGATATATAATAATTCAATTATAATCAAGTTTAAATTAGTATAATATAAATATAAATATAAATTTAATCAATGTCAAATCTTGCTTGATATATTAATCATGAATAGAATTGTGAAAAAGGTGAATCCAATTATACATGACATACCACCTCAACAAGTATTTTAAATTGAATTGATTCACTTACACATTGGTCAGTGGAAACTTTTGACTCATTTTAAAAGATATAAAAGTTTAAATAAAATTTTAAAAATAATTTATAAAGTTTAAGTTGTATTAATAAAATTTTAATTTTAAATATAATAACTTAATATCTAAATTAATATATATATATATATATATATTAAAATATATATTATTTTAAATATAATTCTTATTTTACGCAACAGATGGTCTCATTAGTTTATAGACTTATTTAACCTAAATTAATTTATATGTAAATAAAAATAATCAAATTTATTAGATTATAATGTTGATTTAATTTAATCTATTTTTTTATTACCTATTCATCTTTATCGGTCGTAGTAACATGAGAACTCAATTCTTTTCTTTTCAAAATAATTACCTTTGTTATTATAAAATAAAGTCAAATACGATTGATTGAGATATTGTAAATTATATAAAGGTAAAAATTACTCAGTGACCGTACAAAACTATAAAAAATATAATATGTTTGGGATGTACTAATTAGAAATTTATTCCCTCCGATAATAAAATACCACTTACCTTCCTTTTCCGTCGCGACTATGTATTTTAATTCAGACGTTTCAAAAAAATCCAAAATACGAATATTAAATAGTCAAAACGAGGTCGTTTGGCTTCCGTCGCGTCGCCAACACAACATCCACACTCACTCTCGAGAAAAAAAGTAACGAGCGAGCTTTATAGTGTGTTGTGTGAGAGAGAGAGATAGAGAGTAGTAAAGTGCGTTTCCCTCCACGTTCCAATCTGTCAGAGTCCCACAGCGCACAAATAAAATTCCCATAGCCAAAGAAAAGTAAAGAATAATAAGCTGTGGACAGAGAAGACGCCACGATTCGTGAAGCGGAACGCAGAGTGAGAGAGGGTTTTGATTTTTCAAGAATCGCCTTCGGAGTCGGAGATGGAGTTATCGACTCCCAATTCTTCCAAACTCTTATCCATTACCCCCGGTTCTAGGGTTTTGAAAGGTCCTCTCACTGATGAACAGATCTGGAAGCGCCTTCGCGACGCCGGCTTCGACGAGGAATCGATTAAGCACAAGGACAAGGCTGCGCTCATAGCTTACATCGCTAAGCTCGAAGCTGAGGTTCGTTATTTCCCCCTCTCTCTAACTTTTTTTTTTTTTTCATTTTTTAATTGCAATTTGTTGAATTGGGGAACCGTTAATCAGACTATGCAATGCGATCGGGTTAGTGAGGTAATTTGTTAGGTTGGGGGATTTTAGTTTTGAGTGGGTTTTTGACGCTGTGCGGTTGGGTTATTTATTTAGTACTCATTAATAGTCTTTTGATATGGGGAATAAATTATTTGGGTGCTCCTGTAAGATACTTTAATGATGAATTTCGTTGTCGACGTCGCTTCATATGGTATCTTGTTTATTCTAGTGCCAGATCTTCTTTTTGCGTTGCTACTTCGTAGGTGGAGTCAACTTGTGTGATAATTATGGTTGATAGATATTCTGTTCATGTTCCATAAACCTAGTAGTTAGTTAGTGATAGCAGCACTGGTGATGTTATGATTGGCTATAAAGCCAAAGTCCTTGTTCAGACTTTGTGCTATTGGTGGGAAACTGTGGATTCAGGGCTATTTATATTTTTGTGGAATGATTTAAATTGTATATTTTAAGTTTGGAGTTGATTTTATCCATGGATAGTGTGTAGAGGATTGAATGCAATTTTTAATTACCATTGATTTATTGCAGTGGAAGTGGAGTATGTAAGTCCTAGAGTCTCCATTCCGAGAGGGCTTTGCCTAACACCTCTTATTATCGAAGGATTAGTTTCACAGCTATGCATGTTTGGATATTCTGTCGAAGAAATTTTTTGAATTTTTTATTCAATTTATTTCCCAATAGTTTTTAAAGTTTCCTTGTCATCTGGGCTGTTAATCTGGCCAAAAATCATTTCGTCGCCCGCCACATTAATATTACTCTGACATTTCCATTTTTTATTGTTTATCCTGGTGCATATATCACTAAATACATTTTTTTTTCTTTTATTGATTGTTGCGTTCTGCACTTTTGCATTGTATTCCTTATCATTTGAATAGTTTTCCATTAAACATGTTGCTTGGTTGGTTAGAATCCATCACTTGCAAAACCAGATGTGCAAATTGAGTTGATGCTTACTTTGCTAGTACTCTGAACTGGTTTGCTATCACCCAAAGCAACAGTTTCCCTCATTAATTGAATTGCATTAATGCTCTATAAATGGTTTATGATGTATTTCTTCTTTATAAGAGTCATTATTTCCTTTTCTGCTGTTAGTGCTAACAAAATCCATCAGTCCTTTTCTCACTTTTATTTTGACCTGTATATGTTGTGTAGATATATGATCACCAGCACCACATGGGCCTTCTCATATTGGAGAAAAAGGATTTGGCTTCAAAGTATGAACAAGTTAAAGCCTTGGCTGAATCATCCGAGTTAATGCATAAACATGATTCTGCAATGATTAAATCTGCATTAACCGAATCAAGGAAACGGGAAGAAAGTTTGAAGAAGACAGTAAGCGTCAAAGATGCATGCATTGCAAGTGTAAGTTTATGGAATAGTTTCCGTTGCAAACCATACATGCTTGCTTTTTCATGTATTTATTTTGTTAAAACATCTAAGGTGTATTTTTTATTTTCTTTTGTAGCTTGAGAAGGCCTTGCATGAGCTGCGTACAGAAAGTGCTGAAACGAAGGTTGCAGCTGAGAGTAAATTTGCTGAAGCACGCCAATTGATAGATGAAGCACAGAAAAAAATTACAGAAGCTGAAGCAAAGGTGCGTGCTGCAGAATCTTTGCAGGCAGAGGCTAACCGATATCACAATGTTGCAGAAAGGAAGCTTCGTGATGTTGAAGCCCGTGAAGATAATCTCAGGCGGCAGATCATATCTTTCAAGGCAGAGTATGTTACTTGTTACTTACAATAATTAATGTGTGAAGTTCTCTAGTTACGTACTATCTTCCTAGTTCAATTTTATGACTTTGATCACATAAGCACATTAAGTTGTACCTCAACAGCTGCAAAATCTTATCTGTCAAGTCAGAGTACGTAACTCATTGTTACAATAATTGTGTTTAGTTAGCCCCTAACCTACTATCTCCCTAGTTCATTTCTGTGACTTGGAAGCAGATTAAGTTGTCCCATGACATTGTGCTTTGTAGAGGTATTTTCGTGAACAATCTAGAGCTTTTCTTTGCACGGATCTTAGTTATTGGTGAATCAAAAAATGTTTTGTGCTTCAGATTCCGTAGTTGAATTCTTCTTCTTCTTAGTATAGCCGCTCATTTTTTATTCGTACAATTGACAGAATTATGCATGTTGCAAATAATTAACAGTTAACCTACCCCTTTCAACAATTAGCAACATTTTAACTGAACACGTGATTATGTTTTGTGGTTATAAACTCCACATGCTGTTTGTGTGATTTTAATCTCTCTGTGATCATTGAAAATTTTGATAGCTTCATATTTTTTCAGAAATTATGTTGATCTCTCTCTCTTCCCCCTTTTTTATTATCTCCAGTTGTGATGAAAAAGATAAGGAGATGATTCTTGAGAGGCAATCCCTTTCTGAAAGGCAAAAGGGTTTGCAACAAGAACAGGAAAGATTACTTCAATCACAATCGTTGCTCAACCAGAGAGAGGAACACTTTTTGAGTAGATCTCAGGAACTAATTCGTCTACAAAAAGAGTTGGAGGACACAAAAGCAAAAGTTGAAAAGGAACACGAAGCCCTACATGATGAGAAAACCACTCTAAAATTGAAAGACGCTGCCTTAATACAACGAGAAGAGGTTTGTTCATATTTGAAATTTCTTGGTTGATGAAATTAGCATTAAAGATTTTGTATGTCTTGTTCATTTGTGTATTTATGTTGTGTGAAAACAGGGACTTAATAAATGGAAAACTGAGTTGAGCAAGAAAGAACAAGAGTTACTTGAATTTCAAGCAAGACTATCTAATAGAGAATCTGTACATTCTCTCACCATTATCTACTTTTGATTTTATTTCTGATCCTTTTCTCTATATCATTATTCTTTATTTTTGTTGGGAAATGTAGGAAGAAACTCAGAAAGTTCTCGCTGGTCAGGAAGCTGCACTGAGAGCTCAAAAATATAACTTGGAAGTTGAGCTACAAATGCAGCGAAAATGCACTGAAAATGATATTGAGACAAAGAGACGGGCTTGGGAGTTGAAGGAGGTTGATCTTAAACATTGTAAGGATGAAATCCTGGAAAGACAGCATGAGTTGGAAGTTCTGTCAAGGTCACTGAGTGAAAGGGAGAAGGATCTGAAGGATCTGTCAAGTGCTCTCGAAGAGAAAGATCAAAGGTTGAGTGCTGCTGAGAAAGAGTTTGAGTTAAACAAAGTGCTTTTGCAAAAGGAGAAAGATGATATTGAGCAAGCAAAGCAAGATTTGCAGAAGTCGTTGGAATCACTTGAAAATAAAATAAGACAAATTGATATTGACAAGGAGAGACTGGAGGCTGTAAAAAGTGAAACAGGTGACTTGTCAATTTTGGAAGTGAAACTAAAAGAAGAGATTGACCTTGTAAGATCTCAGAAGTTGGAGATTTTGGCAGAGGCAGATAAGCTCAAAGCTGAGAAAGCAAAGTTTGAAGTTGAGTGGGAGCTTCTTGATGAAAAAAAAGAAGAGTTGCAGAAAGAAGCAGAATTCATTGCAAAGGAAAGGGAGGCAGTTTCCACTTTTATTAAGAATGAACGTGACCAACTACGAGAAGAAAAAGAAAATTTGCGTAATCAGTACACCCAAGACTTGGGGTTTCTTGCCAGTGAACGTGAAAACTTCATGAACAAGATGGCACTTGAACATGCTGAGTTGTTTGGAAAGATGCAGCAAGAGCGAGCAGATTTCTTGCGGGACATTGAAATGCAAAAACAGGAGCTAAATAACCTCATTGAAAAGAGACGCGAAGAGGTCGAATGTTATTTGAAGGAAAGAGAAAAGGCTTTTGAGGAAGAAAAGAACACCGAACTTCACTATATTAATTCTCTTAAGGAGAAAGCAACAAAAGAGCTGGAACAGGTTTCCTTGGAAATGAAAAGGCTTCAAACTGAGCGGGAGGAAATAAATTTTGATAGGGAACGGAGAAATAGGGAATGGGCTGAACTTACTAACTGTATCCAGGAACTTGAAGTTCAAAGGGATAAGCTACAAAAACAGAGAGAACTGTTGCATGCTGATAGAGTCGAAATTTTTGCTCAAACTGAAGAATTGAAAAAATTAGAAAATTTAAAAGCTGTCTCTGATGATAATGCCATCACTGAAATGCTTAAATCTGACATGGAATCTAACC